CCCCACTGCCACAAGCACACCTTTATTTCTATATAGTTACATAATGATTTTGGTAAGTTTTCTATTCAATTACATGTGTTATTATGACCATATAAACTCAGTTCATGGCTGAACCATATCCTGTATCTAACTCTGCTTTTCCTAAGATTAATAATTGTCTTGTCATTTGCTTGGCTACCCATGTACTTTTTCTGATTTGGCTGCAAACTGTGTCCCACATGGTACAGATCCCTTTCACTATCAGCTGAAGACTTCTTTTTGTCCTTGTTTTGACATGGATCTCCCAGTTTTCATGTCTTTTCCTTCTTGAGTTGATTTTGCTTGCCTGAAAATGTCTTTGTTCTTGACTGACATTTGATTAATATTGTGGCTGAGTATAGAAATCTGGTTTGGCTCTTATAGGACAGTATCATATCTTAAATGCTTTTATAGCTTAGTTAATTACTAATGTAGTCTAAATTGTTAGGCACCAAAATGCTTATTAAAGATGGCATTTCATTAGAAGAAAAAAATGGTTGGAGTTCATTTTCTCTCTGAATTTTTATGGCTTCCATCCATTATCTTTTAGCTTCCAGTGTTGAAAAGTTGAAAGATATCCTGATTTCTGTTTTATCTATTTTTCCTTTCTAGAAGCTATTAAGATTTTCCATTTCTATCAGAGATCTGAAATTTTATTAGGATATGCTTTTTTGGAGACATATTTTCATTCATTTAGTGAGGTACTCAATGAGCCCTTTTAATCTGAAAATTCATCTTCTTTAGAGGAGGAAAAATTTTATAAAATTTTTTTTGTTTTTTTTTTTTAATTTTTCTTGGTTCTCTCTTTCTGTTATTTGGATGTTGAACCTCCCAGACTGATTTTCTAATATTCATGTCCTTTCTCTCCTATGTTTGTTTTCTTAGTGTCTTTACTTGCTGGGAGATCTTCTGACCTTTCTATTGAGGTCTCTATGTCTATCATTATTTTGTTTCTCAGCAGTATTTTCTTGTTCCCTGAATGTTCTTTTGTTTTGTTTAGACCATCTGTCCTTGTTTCTTGGATGTAGTTCTCTTATATCTTAGAAACTTTTTTTGTTGTTGAAATTTTATGTCCCTAAGGAGTCTTATTTTCTGTTTGTTTTAGCCTTCATTTTTCCTGTTAAGGGCTTTCCTCAGAAGTCTCAGGGTCCTTGGCTGAATAGTTAAGGTAATGAGGAAGTGGATACCTTGAAAACGTGTAATTGGGGCTTAATGGCTATGAATTTCCTAGATCTGACTGCTGTTTTATCCAAGAACCCCTAATATTGTTTCATTGAACATCTTATCTTTCTTTTTGGCCGGTTAGATTCACCAAAGAAGAATCTTCTTCCACTTTCCTATCTAGAAGCTATAAGTTGGGCTGCTAGCATTGTGTGAACCAAGTAGAAGAGGACTTACAGTCTCAATATTCAGCAAATAAAATTTCATTCAGTTTTTCTCTTTTCAGTAGAGTACCTTGCCCTTCAAAATTCCCCAGTTTAAGGCTGGGCACCATGGCTCATACCTGTAATCCCAGCACTTTGGAAGGCCAAGGCAGGTGCATCACTTGAGGTCAAGAGTTCAAGATCAGCCCAGCCAACATGGTGAAACCCCATCTCTACTGAAAAAAAAGAAAAAAATACAAAAATCAAAAATTAGACAGATATGGTGGTGCATGCCTTTGGTCCCAGCTATTTGGGAGGCTGAGATGGGAGGATCACTTGAACCCAGGAGACAGAGGGTGCAGTGGGCTGAGATCACACAACTGCACTCTAACCTGGACAACAGAGCAAGACCCCATCTCAAAACAAACAAACAAAAATCCCCAGTTCAAGAACTTTCTCTTTTACTCACTCCAAAGAGTGAATTTTTAGTCTTGTTAGGATGAAAGAGGGAACAGTACTTGGCCAGCTATGAATGGTGGCAGCTAATTAGAAAGTGTCTAATTCTTTTGTTTTTAGTTTCTTATTTATTTATTTTTGCCACCTATTATTTTCTTCCCCTAAATAAAGTATCTAATTCTTAAATAAATTTCCAACCAAGTTTGTTCATAGTCTGACCTTTATCCCACTTCCGTAAGCACTGGCTGTCACCAATTCCTAAGTGTTTTGGAAGCTGTAGTACAAAATTGCTTCCTAGGTTATCGTTACCAACTGCTGCTGGTTTAGGAACCAGCTTGCTTGGGTCTGCTAAGTCAGTTAGCAATAGTCTTGCTTTGTAGCTTCCAAATTGCAGTTACTGTCACTTATGTCTCATTCCCCTTTTCCTTATTTGTTTTGCTTTTTTTTAAGAGACAGGGTCTCATTCTATTGCCAGGCTGAAGTGCAGTGATGCAAACATAGCTCATTACAACATGGACCCTTGGGCTCAAGCAATCCACCCACCTCAGCCCCCCAAGTAGTTGGGACTACAGGTGTGTGCCACTAAGCCTGGCTACTTTTAAAAATATTTTATAGAGGCAGGGTCTTGCTGTGTTGCCCAGGCTAGCCTCAAGCTCCTGGCCTCAAGTGATCCTCCTGGCTTGACTTCCCAAAGTACTAGGATTACAGACATGAGCCATTGTGCCCAGCCTTGTTTTTGCTTTTTAATAAAATACTTAACATAAAATTGTATTTTAGTTTGGCTTTGGAAAGTGATAGAGTTAAGTATATATGTTCAATCTACTATCTGTAATGAATAATGAATACTGTTGATTTTTATTATCTGTTATGAAGTTTCTTCTTTTTAACATTTGTTGGATTTGAGGCAAATATATTTTATTAAATTATACTTTAAGTTCTGGGGTACATGTGTAGAATGTACAGGTTTGTTACATAGGTATACACATGTGAGGCAAATATCTTTAAAAAGGACAATATCTATTTGGAGAAAGGGGAAAATTATATATCCAACCTTTGTACTCAGTCTCAGAGTAAGACTGGAGGAGATTTCTGTTTATGTATCATGTATTTTATATTTAAATGCTTTTTATATTTAAATGCTTATATTATGTTTCTTTCACTGAATATAAGAATGTTTATTACTCAATAAACCTGGGTTACAATAACTAGGAGTCATATATCACAGAGTTGAATCTCTTTTAGTCAGGACATATGATGAGATTATTAAATATTCCAAATCAAAAGCTAGGCAACTGATCAGATGCAGTGGCTCATGCCTGCAATCCTAGCACTTTGATAGGCCAAGGTGGGTGGATCACTTGAGCTCAGGAGTTTGAGACCAGCCTGGGAAACAAAGTGAGATGCTGTCTCTACAAAAAACACAAAAATTAGCTAGGCATGGTGGCACATGCCCATAGTGCCAGCTACTCAGGAGGCTTAGGTGGGATGATGGCTTAAGCCTGGGGGGCAGAGATTGCAGTGAGCTGAGATCATACCACTACACTCTAGCCTAGGTGACAGAGTGAGAATTTGTCTCAAAAAATTAATTAATTAATTTAAAAAGCTAAGCAACACAGTTTAAACTTTAAAGAAAGGCTGAGCATGATAGCTCACACCTGTAATCCCAGCACTTTAGGAGGTGGAGGCAGGAGGATGGCTTGAACCTAGGAGTTTGAGACCAGCTTGGGCAATATAGCAAGCCCTCTTCTCTACCAAAACTAAACAAAATTAGCTGGGCATGGTGGCTCTCACCTGTGGTCACAGCTACTCAGGAGGCTGAGGTGGGAGGATCACTTGAGTCCAGAAGCCAAAGTTGCAGTAAGCCATGATTGCACCACTGCACTCCAGCCTAGGTGGCAGAGTGAGACCATGTCTTAAAAAATAATAAATAATAAAAATAAATAATAAATAAACTTTAGAGAAAGGAGATAGGTCTACCAACCATGAGCCAGATGTGATTTTTTTATTATATTGTATACTTTATTATCTTACATAATACATATATGAAACGATTTTTGACTTCTGTATTTTATGGATGAAGACTCAGAGATTCAGAGAAGTTATTTCCCCAAATTTATATGCCTAGTGCATGACAAAAGTCGAATCTGAATTCAAGATTCACTGATTTCAAAGTTAATGCTCTTTGGAAGTGAGTCTGTATAAGATAAGATGGAATGTGGTGGCTCACGCCTATAATCCCAGCACTTTGGGAGGCCGAGACGGGTGGATCACGAGGTCAAGAGATCAAGACTATCCTGGTCAACATGGTGAAACCCCATCTCTACTAAAAATACAAAAATTATCTGGGCATGGTGGTGCATGCTTGTAGTCCCAGCTACTCGGGAGGCTGAGGCAGGAAAATTGCTTGAACCCAGGAGAC